CGTTAATCTCGCCTGGTCTCGTCTATTTATCTCCCTAGTCAACATCGTGCACCAGTTCGCAAAGAAACTTAAACAGAACCTTCCATCCTATTTTGAATCACAGAGTAGGTCGACTGGACAACCCGTCCACCAGCATTAACTCAATAAAATACTATAAAGTTTTCTTCAAAAACATCTGTTGAGACTTGTCATGAAGAAGTGAACTGTAAAACCCACGAAATGTTGACACAAAATAGAATCCACAAATTCAACCCGATAGTCAATGGTTGGGAACATCCAATTTTTTTTTTCTATTTTCGTTTAATCGTTGCAATTACACATACATACTTAATGGTACAAAATCTTGGCTATTTTTTCAAATGATTTTATAATATATATGTACCAAAAAGCATGGTCACAGATATATAGTGCCAGAGAAATCATCCGATAAATCTATAATTAATTAATCGATTATTTTCGGTTTATAAGGATAATAAATTTATTTAAATTGATTGAATAACCGAAATAGTTGGTTAATCGGAATAACTGATTAAAAGATTAAATGTAATAATCGCCTTGTCTTACTATTTCAGTTTATTGAAAATAGCAGATTAATCCAAATAATCGGTCGTTACGATAAACCATTATTCCGATTAATCCCTGCAATCGATTATTTTCTTACAATCAACAGTCATTTTTCAAATTTAATAATTGCCCTACATACATTCTCATTTTCGACTACTATAAAGTTAATTCAGCAATTTCTACGACTAGCAGCAAAGTAGCTTTCCGAATTAGATCAGGCACCTCTCTGTACGTTTACCTTTCATTAGCTTTAACTTAGTTTTCTGGCACGTTCTTATTCGGTTTCTTACTTTAAAGAATATTGGTCACAAAAGAGAAAAGTAACATTTTCTATTGTACCTTGACACTATTACAAGCTCGTAGGGGTTAGCACTTGTCGTTTGTTTCAGAAACTGTAGATAGCATAATACTTTCACAACCGGAAACATTATTGTGACGTTGTACATTTCTGATATTTCTGAATGAAAGGTGTAACTCAGTGCAACTAAAGTATGCTTGTTATATCTCGAACAACGATTTTATGTAAGTGTCAGATAGACGCCTACAGTACATTTCCTGTGATACAACAGAAATTGTAAAAGTCTACAACACACAGTATAATAAATACTTGCGGTAGGAGTTTCTGATTACTTAAGATAAATGTGTTTATTAGTCTTAAAGATTTTTCACTTATTTATTATGGGTCAATATGAACGTGTTGGTCGTCCAAATTCGCTTTTGTTTCAAAAACAAGTAAAGTTTTTCTTTACTAATAACTTTCGAGATAAATTAATTTTGGTGACGGCCTTTCCGCAGTTTGAAAGTTAAACATCTTTTGCATCTAGAATGTGATCACTTTATATTTTATATACAAAGTTTTTTATGTTCATCTTGGTGTTTAACAAGGATGCGGTACTGCTTGTCTGTTCAACGTAAAATGTAACACAATCTGTACACTTAATTTCATATACACTAATTTTTTGTCAAATAGTAATTTTTTTGGAACATTTTTCTTTTGAAGGTTTGTCAGTTTACTATTTATTATATTTTCTTCTTATTTACAAATGCATTGTCGAACCAATCTTTCCGTTAAACGATTATATAAATTTCACGGTCGCGGGAAGGTTATTTTGCTCCTATCGCGTGTATACGTGTGTGTACTTGACGATTATTGATGAAAGAAAGAAAATATTTTATTAAGAAATCATTTGTGTGCTTTCAGTTGTGTTAGACGGGTGTGGTATTTATTCTGAGTTATTATTAAGTGTTTTTATACTCTCATTTTATGGAGAAGAAATTAAGATTAAGTTTTCATTTTACTGATCACGCAGACACTTTCGTGCGGGGATGTTAGCCCATGTTGGATATTTGATTTTTGAAACTGTGGTGAACGTGTATATTAAGCATTGTCAGTAGTGGCTATTAGAGAGGTTACTGAGTTTGAAAATTGTTTTGGAATTGAGAAAATATTTCTCCATTTGCAGCAGTAGTCGGTTGTTGTGTTAAGCCATAGCCAGAGCTCAGGACAAATTAATTAATAATTAATGGGCGTGTTGTAAATTAGGTAAGCTCTCATATTTGTTTTTATTATGTTATTATGCTAGATTAAGTGTGAGGGGGGAGGGTGACTTAACCAGTACTACAGCAGAAAAACAGAACCGGACTATGGTAGTGTCACCGTTGAAATTTTTGTTTATCATCCTTTCAGATTGGAGTTTTGGTTATTTATTTCTTAGCGCCGATTAGTTTAAATTATTTAGTGTCTTCTTAATTGTGTTAATCGATTGAATATATTTATAATGTTAATAAAATTTATACATTAATGTACAGGTCGACACAAATAGTGTGATTTGTTTCCGCCTATGGATGATTGTGAAAGAGAGGTGAGATAACATTCGGGCGCATAACAATTACTCCTGCTGGTTGTTGTTATTTGTGTGCTTTTATCGTTTTTACTATTGTTATGGTTTTACTCTTGTTATTGTTGTTATTAGATTAGATTACTCTTCGCAAATAGTTAAGGATGTGGGTTGTTCTAGTTTTAGGGAAATGCGAAGATTAGGCCAGGATAGGAAAGAGTGGAAGTGTGTCTCCAACCAGTCTTAGGACTGGTGATGATTGTTGTTATTACTGTTTGCTTTCCTAAATCCACACGAGCTGCAATGAGTTTATTATTTGTAATTATTTCAAAGCAGTCGACAATTTGGTTAGCAATTCATCTCGGTCCCTTCTCCATGTTTAGAGTAGACGTGCGAGAAATTTTCCTCATTCTGTCGTCCTTCTTCCGCATACATTCTTTGTTTCTCTTCCGCGCATAAACGTTGCTAACTGAAACCTCTTCCTATTCTTGTTAAGTTGTATATAGGTATTTCTACTTTCTCTTACATTTCTTTAATTATTCATAACTAATGAGTCTAAATTGGTTCTACTACTACTACATCTTGCCTAAATCATATTTGTTATTAATTAATTTTTTCTTTTAATTAAAAAACATTGTTTTCGATTAGTATAAATTAAAAGTTATTATTCTATTGAAGTTCTACCTAGAGGAATGTAAAAGGGTTAAAAAAAGCTGAAGTTTAAAAAATAACTAATTTCATCGCGTGAAATGTTTTCCATTTTCGTCAAGGTTTAAAAAAGAACAGTTCTTTAAATTAATGATGCTGCTAAATATTAATTTTGAGGTAAATCTCTCACTAAAAATGTTAAGGCTGGTGAATAGCCGTCGGGTTATTAAAATAATCCTAGATAGTTTACTGTGAGTGTTGAACACGTTCTCTTCTTTTAATGTTCTAGTGGCATAGGTACAGATAACAGGTTAGTGTTAGATGGTTGTGTGTATAATTTAGCATACATTCGCAATCCTTTTCTAATATAATGTAGCGACAGCATGAATTTGAATGTTTATATTTTATTTTTCCTTGAGGCTTTTCCAGAATCATACACCACCTCCAAGAAAATATATGACACATTGGGAACACGAATTATTACTTTTATTGTTCTGCAATATGCTTTTTTTTCATTTAGAGAGAAGCGAGTGTAATAATAAGTATCTTTTTATGTGATTTTTAATGCTGAACTTTATTTTCAGGCTATTGTGACGGAGCTATATTTTTGAGACTAGTAAAGTAAATATCTTTTAATATGATATAGCTATTTAGCCCTATGAGTTTATTTATGTTTTTTTCTGTGTAGTACTTTAACATTCACTTTTTTTACATGTGTATTAATAAAATATGATGTATGTAAAGAAAATGTTTAACAATTCTAGAACTGTCATGGCTTACATAGTTCGAAAGCTCTAAAAATCTAACATTTGCGCTCAGTTAAAAGAAAAGTTTTTCTTTACTCACTTACCATTTGTATTGTAGCTATACATATAAGGAGTTTTACGATATAGTAAAATGGGTTGTGGGTATTATCCAGGTTAAAATAAACTATTTATTGATTTATCGATATTAACTTTTCAAGCTATTTATCGCTTAATAGCAATCTTTCATCCACCTCTATTGAATTTCAAGATTTATACTTCTTGTATAAAAAATGTATATCTACCTAATATTTAAGAAATGGTCGACGAATTAATGTGCTCATAGCTTTTGACTAGTGTAAGAACTTTGTTAATTAATCAGATTTTTATGTACTACATTTAATACGAACAGTAAGTAAAGTATCTAGTAGGGAGGAGTTAAAAACACTCTTAAATAGAATGGAAGGAGTATTAACAGAAGAGTAAGGAATAAAAATAAAAAATACATATATGGTGGTATGTACGTGAGGTGAAAGGATTAGAACTAATATTAAAATTTGAGTTGAAAAAGTAGGGATTGATGATTTACAATATCTTTACACAGTCACAAAACTAAAAATAGAGCAGGGTTGATAGGCTTTAAAAAAATAAATATTAAGAAGATTCTAAAAAGTTTGTTAAAGCTATGCTTAGTGCACGGCTCTGTACAGGTGCTAAACGCGGACAGTAGACGCTTTTTGGTTTTAATAAGGACGGTGTATTAAAAAGCAGTTAAGACACCTTCTGATACATGAGATAGAAATATATTTTAAATTGGAGTAAGAGAAACAAGGAAAGACTTTAATTAGATTACTGTTGGCAAATATGATAGGATGCAGGATATTTTGGTGTTAGGGAAATGAGAAAATTGGTTCGTGACAAAATTAAGAAAACTACCCATTCAGATGATAATGATAACGATAATAAATAAACAGAGCTAATAAGAAAAGTAGGGGTAAATTGCAGGTAAAACGATCAAATGATATCCCTTTTATCCCTTGTCCCATCTAAATGAATTTAAATTAATAATTCTTTAGGGTAAAAGGGACAGTAAACGATGTGTAAATTTTTAATAAAAGCTTTTAGGAAGTATTTTACGGAGGCTTCTAACAATTCAAGACTGAGATTTTCATCATGTAAAAGCTGAACCAAATTGACTTAAACTTACCGAAACAATAAAGATGGGTAGTATGTACTGAAAGATTAGAGAGAAAATGGAATAATAGGCTCGTCCGTGAGCAACCGGCCAATCCTCTATACAAAAGTTCACTCCATCCAAGCCGGTTCCATTTAATTTGAGATCGTGGTGTACCAAAGTCTTGTAGATAAATATCGGGGAAGCGAGAATTATCGCAATTATCCAGATTACTAAAAGGATTACAGCTGCCCCAAACAATTGTAAGCTTTCCTTCGTTGGATAGACGATGACCTGAAACAATCAAACGGCAAAGCCTTAAACATACATATTTGCAGAATTCATTTACCGCAAGCGGAGGCAATTTTAACTTCATTTATATGCAAAAGGAGCGGCATTTAATAATTTATTTTATTTGCATAATACACGTCAGATATTCTCAACAATAACCATCCGTCATTTCAACATTATGGCTAAACACGAAAAGAAAGCAGCTGCACGGTCCATACACTTGCTTAATAAATTAACAATTTTAGCTTAGTTATTCGAAGTCAAATGGATTTTGTATTACAGGATAAATTAATAGCATAGCAGTAGGTTGATATTAAACAAAGCGAAATTATAAACTCATTAATTACAGCAGGCGAAATGAAAATACGTTCTGTGATAGTAACTATATTCAGTTGCTTATTAACGTGATGAATGAAGAAGAGGTGTAATATATTTATAGTTAAATTACACGTTTAGATTAAGGAGTGTTTAGACCAGTCGAACTTATTCAGGAAGTTGATATTTTGTCGGAACTATCTGTGGCAGTAAACACTGTAGGAATAAAGGGACGAAGAATAAATTGCCGTAAAGAGAGTGAAGCCTTTAGAGAGGGAATTGTAGTGTCCATACAGTGGTACCTACATTTTAATGACTGCGCCTCTATGTAGTACACGTACTCAATAGGTACTAGTAGCCAATAGAATTTAGGCACCTGCTATCTCACCGCTTCCCTGTTCTTAACTTCCTCACGGCTAGTCGATTTTCTAATTCTATATTCCTGTGTCTTACTGTATGAAAATAAATAAAAGTAAAACTAAAATACTGATATGCAAGGGAAGAAAAAGTAGGGAAAGGGCGAATATAAAGATAGTAGACGAAAAATTAGAATAAGTGGCTGATTTTAGATACCTAGGAAGTTAGATAAGTCAGGATGGAAGGAGTAGTAGGGATATAAAGCAGAGGATAACGCAGGGTCGTGTCGCCTTTAATAAAAAGAAGTCACTTCTATACTCGCGAACGGTTAATTTAGAAATTCGAAAAAGGTTGTTAAAGGTGTATGTTTGGAGCACGGCATTGTACGGGTGCGAAACATGGACAATGGGCGCGGCGGAAAAGTAAAGGTTAGAAGCGTTCGAAATATGGTGTTATAGGCGGGTGATGAGGATATCGTGGGTAGAAAAGGTTAGAATTGAAGAGGTATTGGAAAGAATAGGAGAACAGAGGACTCTATGGAAGTCAATAAAAAATAGGCCAGATAGGTTGGTAGGACACCTTCTCAGGCATGAAGGTCTAGTCAGAGACATATTAGAGGCAGAAACAGGAGGAGTAGGGGTAGACCTAGATTAGATTACTGTTCGCAAATAGTTAAGGATGTGGGCTGTTCTAGTTTTAGGGAAATGCGAAGTTTAGCTCAGGATAGGAAAGAGTGGAGGTACGTGTCCAACCAGTCTTAGGACTGGCGACCTTATGATGATGATTCCTATCTCTAATATCTGTGGAATACTTGAACAAACAACAGCAGTTTTGATCAAAACTATACCAAGTCTATTCCCACAATCAGTGGTTACAATCCGTCTCTATTCTGCGTACCCTAATTCGCATTCACTGCAGGTTTGGCGTATGTACATGAGTTTTTCATTGTCGTTTACGTTAACCAAATTGTCTGTGCTTTTGTTCGCTTGGTCTATACGCACATTTAAAACCTACCCTTTCTGAAAGACATTCTCACTACGACTACAAGAGTACAGCTAATACAATGTAAATAAATAATTATATGCTTCGTCAGTAAAAAGAGAACAGGTTAGAAGCGTTCGAAATGTGAAGCAGAAACAGGAGTTAAAAAGAGTAGAGGTAAACCTGCATTAGATTATTGTTCACAAATAGTTATGTATGTGGACGTTCTAGTTTTAGGGAAATGGGAAAATTACTTCAGGGTAGAAAAAAGTGGAGGCGCGTGTCCAATCATTCTTACGACTGACGACCTTAAACTGATGGTCAGTAAGAAAGTGACTGTATGTAAATTAAACCTGTAACAGACCCAAATGATAAACGAACATAATTGAATATATACAATTTACGAAAGCAACATGTGTTGTTTAATTGAATTGATATGCGGTAATAGAAGACGGTACGGTAGCTTTTATTCATCCCTCTCGGTCAATTACCCCAATTAGTACCCATGTTCAATGCCCCCACACTTAGCAAAACCGAAAAAGATGGTAAGCAAACGAGGCATCGAACAATACTTGCTTAATGCGAGGAAAACCAAAGTATAGTCCAACTAAATAATACTGTACTAATACAAAGACTTAATAACCAGGTTTATTAATTAATAGAAATTTTTCTAAACATGTTTCAAGAAATATATAAGTCAAATGAAACAACACACACATAACAATAGGCCCCATTTAAACATACACATAAAAAGGAGTCGCAAATGCAAATATCAAGATATAAAAGTAAAACGTTTTTTCGGTATAAATACCTGATATCTGTCAAGTGCGATGGCCGTTATCGATATGGTGGAAACAAAGATGCTAGTAGCTTGTAAGGCGCCTATCATCTTGCAGACGATAAAATGATTTCCCAGCGGCCAGTGTTTTGTTAATATCTCCATTAACGTCAGCGGCATTGTAATTGTACACAGCAGAAAATCCGATACTGCTAAATTGACTATGAACATGTTCCTGGGAGTTCTCATTGCGGGCTTTCTAACAACTGACACTATCTGAAACAGATATAGCAAACATGAAGAAACCCTTAAGCTAAATTTAATCAAACAAGCGCCAATTTTGCTGGTGTATACCATATATAGGTACAGTACCGGCGAATTGAGATTTCAAATGTTTATATCTAGGTAACCACTTAAAACAATGACTAGAAATATACGATATACCTAATCTGCCTACGCTTTTTGTTGTAAGCTGTAAGCATTTTGCAAACAGTACAGCAGAACAGGTGAATTGAAAACTGAACGGGGATATTCTATATATTATATGCAATAATTGAAGGAAAACATCGTCTTTTGAAAAATACGCTGAAGTATAAGGAAATTTGTACATGGAGAAAACTAAATTTTTATGACAACGCAAAAATTACAATTTTCGATTGTAAATGACTGAATTTGCAGTAGAAATAGTAGAATTTATTAGGTAACTTGTAATAATCTCAATTTTGACATGTTTTTTTAAAAATTATTTCAAGTTTCTTAATTATTACAATTTAATTTGTAATATAAATTAAAATACTTAGTAAATTTATTTCTGCTGGGATTTTATGTTTACAAATTCGGGTCCAAATTGTAATTTTTTACTATTTTATCGCTTTAATATTTAGGTAAATTTTCCTTTTTCTTTTTCTCCGCGTACATTATAAATATCTTCAGCTATCTTTTCATATCAATAATAAAGCAAGTTCAGTAAATGCAATTTAAAGATTTTGAGAATTCAGTTTTTAGAAAAGCAGGTAATATTTTCAAATAGACTCATAAAAAATGAAACATCTAAAATAATAGACTTGCTTACAGTAACTGCACAGAAGGTAATGTAAAACTGAAAAACAGGCAAAAATAGTGGAAATGTTAGGTAATGGCTTTTCACTTCATACAGCATTTAACTACTTCAGAGAAGCCTTTTAGGTGATGCTTCGTGATAGAATCTTAGAAACGTCAAACCGTTTGAGATATCAGTTTATTAATTTAATCAAACTGAAAATTGATTAGTTTAGGCAAACATGTTGCAGACAACATGACTGCTCACGTTCTGTAACGTTGTTACATCTTGTCTAAACAACGAGCACAATACAGAATATTAATTTGAAATTTAATTACATTTTTCTATCTACTTTTGTATTTTAAGCCAGAAAAGCATTCATTACCTACATTAATTTAATCATCATTACGGTGGAGATCTATAAACTCCATCCCTCTAAAACAGTTTCGCCCTTATTCGAGATGTATTTCAAAGAGCAGATAGCATTTTCTTTCTTTCAAAAATAGCTATCTGGAATTACTTTATTATTTCTTATTTACTTTCACTACCTGCAGTGCTTGATACTCTTTCATATTGATTTCTCTTTCATGAAATGTTGAACCCATAAATAAGAGACGTCCATCATTTTAAGTATTTAATGGATGTGTTTGTTGTTTTGTGCTTACACGTAGTTTGCTTTTCAAATATTACGTTAACCATCCTTATGTTTTAAATATGAAATATTTAACTTAACCAATTAAACTGGCCAACTGCACCATTGGACAGTACGCCATGTAAAGAAATTCGCTAGTAATTGTGATTACTACACCCTTGCTTTTTTATTTTTTCGCTCCACCAACATTAACATGATCAAGAGTAACAGTTTTTGTTTTAACCGAGTTCAAAAAAGTAAAGAAATTGTCAGTTAAATGCAGATTGGAAATGTTATGAAGCAATCGTTTAAAGCAGAAAAGAAATAAAAAAACTTAGAGCACTGTAGAAAATTATAAATAATTAATATTTTTTATCAGTGAATACGTCTAGGAGAAAATTATTTTTATTTTATTAGTGAATGGTAAGATTAATAGAATTGCGATTGATAAAATATTAAGTATCCCACTAATGTAGTAATAATTAAAAGAATGGATAAAGCGTGGATATTATTTTTATTTTATTAGTGGCCGATTTTAGATATCTAGGAAGTCAGATAAGTCAGGACGGAAGGTGTAAAAGGTGATATAAAGCAGAGAATAGCACAGGGTAGAGTCGCCTTCAATAAAAAGAAGCTACTTCTATGCTCGCGAACGGTTAATTTAGAAAGTCGAAAAAGGTTGTTAAAGATGTATGTTTGGAGCACGGTGCTGTACGGATGCGAAACATGGACAGTGGGCGCGGTGGAAAAGAAAAGGTTAGAAGCGTTCGAAATGTGGTGTTACAGGCGAATGATGAGGATACCGCGGATAGAGACGGTTAGAAATGAAGAGGTATTAGAAAGAGTAAGAGAACAGAGGACTCTATAGAAATCAATAAGAAATAGGCGAGATAGGTTAGTAGGACACCTTCTCAGGAATGAAGGTCTATTCAGAGACATATTAGAGGTAGAAATGGGAGTTAGGAGAGATAGAGGGATTGGATTACTGTTCGCAAATAGTTAAGGGTATGTGTGGAGCTGCGTATCAGTCTTAAGACTGACAGATCTTATGATAATAAGTGCTCCAAAGTTTTTTAGATTCGATTTTATTAGATGTTTTTAATAATAATAGCACAATAATTTAATGAAAACATTACCTTCTTAAATTGACTAGCAAATAACATTATTTGTAATATTATTTTGAATCATCTTTTGAACCTGACTCCTTGAACCTGCAGGTGATAATACATTTAATACTGTAATCAACAGTAGCAAACCAATACTTGAGATAATTACTTAAATATCAACGTAAATGACTTTTACTGTTTTATTAAACAAAACTCGATAGTGTCTTCATTAGGTAGTCCATCAAAGCCAATCAACTTACCACCAGTGTATTCCCTAAAGCTCCAACACAAATTAGAGTGCAATACATAATGATGAGGATGGTGTACGCAGGCTCATCGACTGCTCTATTTTCTACATATCTCGATATCAGTTTAGGATCAACGTTATTGCTTTTCGCCAATATTTCATTCTCGCTCATATTCAATGTAATTGACAGTTCCATATTTTTGATCCAAGGCGAGGACAATCAAGAAAAGTAGATAATACTATCCATAACTTTTGTTCTTCATGACGCGATCTGAAACAAAAATAAGGGATGTTGTATACGCTAGTTTCGAGTAATTATAAATATTTTAGTCATTATTTTAATTGGAAATGGAAAACAATGAAAGCCGTAAATGTGTAAGAAATTGGTAGGTACGTTTATAAAAGCCATGAATAAATATTGAAATTTCTTAGGTTAGGAGTTTTTAGATTGTTCCCTATAAAAGAAATAAGAATTGTTACAACGTAAGGGTCAGGTTTTGACAGTAAAGGTAGAAATCCTAATCTTTCCATTTATATTGTAATGTGTAGTAAATGGCTCGTATAAATCTAGATACTTATTTGTCTTCCCTTAAGGAGAGTTATCATATAAGGCACGTCAAGTGAATAATAAAAAAGTCGCTAACAACACTTTTTAACTTCAAAATCCAGACTCTAATCTGTAAAGCACAAAACGATACCAAAGAAAAATAAATTTGAACAAAAAAAAACTATCTGGTAACTATTTCTTTTAGAAATTGTGAATTCCACCTCAAATGCCAATTTAAGTTATTTTTTTTCGAAAATAAATGTGCGATTTTCTGCATCATCACGTTCCCCATTCTTTACAATTTCATTGTGTCAGTGTCGATTGGAAGTTTAAACGCCATTTCAGAAAATTGAATAAAACCGATAAATCGGAAGATTGATATAAAGCAGAACGCTATAAATCGATACGTTCATTCCATTTATCTCGGTAAATTTTATTACTGTCTAATTCTTATTAAGAAGAACAAGGTAGACGAATATTTATGGTAGAATGAATGAAAAATGTCTCCATTTGTTCTGGCGACAGGAACAGGACAACCAGGAGTACTATCTAATTTAAGAGGGCTTATTCGACGACCAAATACGAGGGTGGATTGATAAGTTTCCGGCCTAACCAAGAGATGACGCCACTAGGCCTACCTTGAGGTGACATTCTATAGTACCATCCTTGGATAGCTTGTAGCTATAGTTTCAGCCCGATCTCCTTGCTAGTGTAGGTTTGACAGCACGCTGAACAAGACGCCTCTGTGGTTTTCGTAAAAATGGAAAAGCAGGAAAATCGTGCTGTCATCAAATACTTTTATTTGAAGGGGTTAACGCCGAAGGAAATTAAAAAAGAGATGGACTCAACACTGGGGACATCCTCCCCGTCATATTCAACCGTTAAGCAGTGGGTTTCCGAGTTTAAAAAGGGTCGTGTGAGCACCTCTGATGGGCCTCGCTCAGGACGCCCCGTTGAGGTCACAACTCCAGATATGATCGAAAAAATTCATCAAATAGTGCTGGGAGACCGCAGATTGAAAGTGCGTGAGATAGCTGAGACCTGTAAGATGTCATATGAACGTGTGCAACATATTTTGCACCAACATTTGCATATGGAAAAGCTCTGTGCAAGATGGGTGCCGCGTTTGCTAACAGTCGACCAAAAATTGATTCGAAAAAACATTTCTACCGCAAATTTGTCATTGTATAAGCGTAATCCAAGCGAATTTTTGCGTCGATTCGTAACCGTTGACGAAACGTGGGTCCACCACTACACTCCTGAAACCAAAGAACAGTCTAAACAGTGGATTGGACCAGGGGAACCAACTCCAAAGAAGGCAAAAACAATTTTTTCGGCGAACAAGGTTATGGCTACTGTTTTTTGGGATGCAAGAGGTATTATATACATTGATTACCTTGCAAAGGGTAATACTATCACTGGTCAATACTACGCAGACTTATTGCAACGTTTGAGCCACGAGGTGAAAATTAAACGACCTCATCTGGCGAAGAAAAAAATCTTGTTTCATCACGATAACGCACCAGCGCACACGTCAATCGTTGCGACGGCTAAAATCAACGATCTAAAGTTTGAATTGATGCCGCACCCTCCTTACTCTCCAGACCTAGCCCCGAGTGACTATTTTCTGTTCCCTAATCTCAAAAAATGGCTTGGCGGTAAGAGATTTGCGGACAATGAAGAAGTAATCGAAGCTGTAAATGGTTATTTTGAGGAGCTTGACGAATCAGTCTATAGAGATGGCATTAATAGACTGGAACACCGCTATGAGAAATGTATCAGCCTTGGAGGAGATTATGTTGAGAAATAAAAAAAAAAAATTTTTAAAAACTTGTTTTTCTTGGTCAGGCCGGAAACTTATCAATCCACCCTCGTACAATACCGAAAAGCCATTTAAACACCCTGCCTGATGGCATTAACAAATTTCAGTTGAGCTCCACAAGCTTTTATTTATTATACTCTTATCGTAAATCAATTTTGGAAAATATTTTGATTGTAATCTTCCCAACAAATGTTTCTATTGTATTTTCATTAATCTACAATAAATTATTTTTCCACCCGATTTCCGATAAGGAGACCTTGTTCTTCTGACGTATTTCAGTATATTTTTTCTACTGATTGAATTTTGATAACTGAATCATTTTTACCAAAGTAAGGCACCAGGTGTGCGAAAAATATCAATATGCTGAACGTTGTAAGCCATAATAATAATGAAATATATCACTCTATACTTTTTGGCAATTTCGAGGTCATTTCAGAAAATTGAATGAAACGGATAAATCGGAAGATTGGTATACAACATAACAGCGTAAATCTTCACGTTTGGGGGGATCAAAGTAAAGGATTCGATGACAGGGTTTGAATACATGTATAAATGAAGTAAGAACAGAAAGCGAATAATGTTATTTGCTAAACATGAGATATAAAGCTCCGAAAACCCACAACTCCACACTGGAAAACTGAGTATTCATTGTAATCGTTATTTACCGGACACCTAGTATACAACAGTTCCACACATTTAACAGAAAGACACAAATGTAAATGTGTGTTGCGTTCTAGTTTTCGGGCTTTTTGGCCGATGTCGTTGGAAAGTACTTCCTAACGTTCCGTTTGTAGATGTGACATCATTCTCTAGGTTGGCATGGTAGTTTTCTCGAAGATGCCTCGCAAATCGCTCAGTGGTGATTCAGATTCACCACCAAAAAAACTACACCACCCTTAAACCATCGAAGGGAAATGACAAACACATCATACTAAGCGGGCGATATACAAAACACAGTCAGCAAATTGTATATATTTATTAATAAAAAAAGAAAAGGAACGATGAATTGTAATATCAATATACATAAGAAGGGTCAGAAAAATGAGGGAAAATGTTTTTATTAATAATTTGGGTCACTATAACCGGATATGATTTCTTGTGAATCAGTTATAATATACGATATGTCATTTTAAACGGAGTCATTATATCCAAACTTTCCTATAGAGAATTCAATACGAAAACCAAATTTAACACTGCAATATATATATGAAATATAAGAGGTTGGTCAATATAGGCGAAGTTATAATAAACGAATTCCACTGTAAGTGCATTATTAAGACGAAATAAAGTATTGACGATGTCGTGTATGCGTTGCGTGCAGTCCGTCTAATTCTGATATTTGTGTGTGCGCCTTTAGATAGATGTTGTGGTAAGTGTGTGCTATAGCATCAGACGAATCGATTAAGGTCATTCTAAAATCAAAGACTAGATGGTCAATTTTCGAGTTGTTCTTTAGTAAAATATAAAGACGATTCCCTGTTTGCGTTTGAGTTTGAGAAGAACTAAAAGTAAAAAATTATAACCAAGAGGTAATAAGAAAGCACCAGAGCAAACATTCAATGCTAGACAGGGAATAGTACTAATTCGTTTTTGTATGATCCAATAAAGCCACAAATTTACGTTCGTCGTCTTAACTATAAGACGAGCTAAAAAAAAAAGAAATTATTTGGTTGAGTCGTCGGAATACATTAAAAAACTCATCTAGAAAAGTCGTTCCCCCAAGAAATAGCTTCATTCATCGTAGAGTATAAGTGTTTCCATTTTCATTCATTATGCTACTAAAAATAAATAAAAATGGACGTGTCTGGCGTTGATAATGCCCACGTAAGAAGTGGGTGAAGTATTTGTCCGCTTGTAATAGTTTGTTGTTGCATATAGAGGCAAGTCTCCTCGTTGTTAGTGCATTATGTTTTGCATTTGTTATTTTACCTTTTACAGTCAGCCTTTAATGTTAATTTAATTCGTGTTGGTGTATTTCTGTTGTACCGGTTAATGGTCCGTCGATCAAACCATATATACTTCGATGTGACCTTCAGTTTGACCGACGCAAAGTAGAAAAGAACAGCACTAGGCCAGAAAAGAAAGGAGATAACTCTCGGTCAAACTCTTAACCGGCGAGGAGCGTATGATCTGTACAGTACTGCACGGAAAAACTGCCCATTTTATCCACTAAAATTGCATTGCTCAAATGTGCCGTTATTGGTACCATTTACTACTGAAAGTATCAACGAGATGATTATTTATATTTGAAGACATATTAAAGGCTTTAACGCTTGTTTTCGACTCGCACTACTATTCATGATTGAACAAAACTTTTGGCAAGTACTGTATGAAAAAGTATGTTTAATGAACAAGATTGGAGAGTGTAATGAGCTTTTTTCTCTCTACTTACAATTTTGCCAGCGCGCATCCAAGACATTGAAAGGGGCACATCGCTAAAGAAAGTAAATGAAGTATAGATACCTACGTAACTACATACAATGGAATAGTGTTACCTAACATATTCCACCCCACATTTTACCCCTAATGTTTCTCTGTTATTCATTTTACATAACCGACTTTATCCCGACCTACGCGTTTTTTTAACATTTTCTTAGATTCCTTTTAATGGTTTTTCTAACCGAGTGTTTTTATGACTGAGCTGGTTAATGCATCTTTGATGACGGCCTCCGGATAAGATTAGAGTCTTTTCCATTTGGTATTCTGCGATACATGAAAAGCTTTTAAGAAGCTGTTGCCCTCGGTAAGAAAGCTAATGAGGAGACTTCCATTGAGATAAATTAAAATTAGGGGATTATTTTGCGAGCAAAATCCTGTCCACGTCTTTCCAAAGGAAACTCATTTTACTGATGAAAACTTTGTCCATTTCCTCTGAGTTGTTGTTGTTGTTGAAGGCTTGTAA